TTCAAAAAGTGACCCTGGATTCAAATATACCCCAGTTCCGGGTTTCTACTCTGTACTCTTAAATCTATGACACCAAAGTATGAGAAGCTTGTCAGCACAGAACTGAAAGTTTTGGGGATTAATGTACCACATGCTATCAAGGACTTTTCTCCTGATTTTCAGTGTAATTACACTGAAATATAATTTTCCCCTGAATTACCAGGTAGCAGCATATACCCGTGGTGGCGAACCTATGGCACACGTGCTGCAGCGGGCACACAGAGCCCTCTCTGTCAGCATGCGAGCCAAGTCGCCCCAGCATCGCCCCAGCAGCCGAGCATCGGATAACAGCACACACGGGCTATGTACATGCTCAGACGCATTAGCCGCAACTCATTTGAGCTTTTGCATGGCCGGTCAGTGCGCTGCCAAGGAGAGAGAGAGAGAGAGAGATGTTTGTATCATTGAAAGCTTTGTTATTGTGTTTTTCTTTTAAGACAAAAGCTGTTACTATATGCGTTGTTTTTTCTAAACCATGGCTCCTCAAACTAGGGTCCACAGACCAGATTCGGCCCGCCATGCCCATTTATCTGGGCCACCTCAGAGGTTTTGGACTCACTCAGAGAAAATGATCTCTGAATGAGAAAGCTGCCGCCTTGCTGCGCATGCGCGCCACCGCCAGCTTCCCGCGCACACACCCGCAATCACACCAGTCTCCCCCCACAAGCGCGCCCACACCCGCCGCCACCGCCTTTCAACTGGCCCCCTGTTGAAAAAGTTTGAGGACCCCTGTTCTAAACTAAAACCTCAGTATTCAGGTTTTATTGCAGTGTTGGCACTTTGCGATCAATAAGTGGATTGTGGGTTGCAGTTTGGGCACTCGGTCTCGAAAAGGTTCGCCATCACTGGCATATACCATCCCACCTTAGAGACTTTGCCAGCTCCAGGTTCAAGAGGCTCTTGAGCAAGGCCTCCTCCACAAGCTGCCTTCCTCCATGAACTGACCTTCTCGCCGCATCAGTGGGTCATCCTCCATTGCATCCCTTTGGCCACTTGCTTGCTTGACAAACAGAGAAACCAGCAACCAGCACATCCACTGCTGCTCATCATCACCACTGTTTTCCATGCCAGGTTGACAAACAGGTAGAAATGGTGCAGAAGAGTATCCTCGGAAGCAGGACATTGGTGGTTTCTCGGCTTTTGCATATCCCCCCTGCCCCTGCCATCATTCTAAAAATGTTATCACTATTACAGAATTTTAAACTGCTCTTTTGCTGTGATTTCCACATGCATCAGCTGAAGTCTATTGTAGGAACGACAGGCATTTTTAGGAGAGGGCTACAGGAAAATACTAAGTCCATCTTCAGGAATGCTTTTCTGAGGAAACCCTTGAGAATTCCAGCGCTCCATATTGTAAATCAGGGATATGGAGCATCCGCATCCATCCTCTCCAGCGGTGTTGGACTGCAACTCCTGTCATCAACCTGTTGACTAGGTTGGCTAGGGATGATGGGTGTTACCCTCCGACATTTGTAGGGCCCACATTCCCTGCTAGCACCGGCACAGGCTGGGTTCACACATCGTGACAAGTAGTCCTGTCTAGTCTCTCCGGTGAGCGGCTTTTTGCCTGGATGTTCCTGGCAGACAATCAAGTGGTTTATGTCCTAGCATGGTTTGCACCCTCCTCACTCAGTCCTCCCGCTCTTGGCACATAGCCCATCAGTCACCGCACTGAAATCCAATCCCACAGTTCCTGCACCCGCTGCTCTTTCCAGGGGGCTCTGTGGTAACTGCACATCAGGACCATGGAAGCAAAGATGCCAGGTTTGGACGATCAGAGACACCATGGGAAAGCATGGAAACTATAGAACAACCCTCAGTTTCTTGCCATGGTTTCTCAAAAGCAAACATACCAGCTGAAATATCGCAACAGGGTTCAGAGAGCATGAGAGACCATTATTTATTTATTATTTACTAAAAGCTTTTGTAGGGCATCCACTACAAGCTTCTCGGGACAGCTCACCATCCTGCCCAAGAAACCATTGAGACATGTGTTGTGCAAAGCTTCCCATATTGTAGAGGAAAGCTGTAAATGTTCCTTGACAAGAGTTACGTGCCAGTGTAGATAAACTGTGCTTCAGGAAAACATGTCCACCATCTCTGATGTTCTTATGGAAGTCCCCAGGTGCCTACATCACTTCGTGGAATCCACCAGCAGCCTGGGTTGGCTTGCAAAAAGAACTGCCTACTTTTCCCACAAGTAATACACATTTCTACTTCCCCCATTTTCCATAGATCTACCCAGAAATCTAGTCTACATGCATGTAGTTGGAAAACTACCAGTGCTACAGAAGCATGGTCACATTCTGCAGGGGGTACAAGTTCCTGACGGGATCCTTCTCCCGCCTACCCTCAACCAGGTGTTAGAGAATTCAATTGTAAACTTTGCACGTGCCAGCCAGAATCTGGGATTTCACTGTCCAAAGTTCCAGACCCACCAGGCATAAAAGCACTTGCCCAGCAACACCAGGCAAATGAAGCAGGAGCCAGGCTGGAAGGAGAAAGCGTTGAACTTGGAGCGAGGAGCCACAGGAACGGTTGCTTGGCTCAGGTCCCTTGGTAGGAGGAAACCCTGGGCAAGCTGAGTCAGCCCCTGCTATTTAGAACAGAGAGAATGCACACTACAGGAATCTTCCGTCCAAAACCACACCCTGTTTGTTTCAACATGGGAAAGATTCAACCTTCATACCTACTGTGCAAGCCGAGTTTAAAATTAGATCAAGGACATCTGAGCCAGGATGCGATCTCAAGGGAGGCTGGAATATTTTTAAACTCTGGATGCACTTGGATCCAACAACAAAAGAAGTGAGAGATCTCCAGTTTCACGACATCATAGCAGCTACAGAGGGAGGATTAACCAGATTTCTCAAGTCCGTGTGCCTTTCAGTTCCACAAAGCTGTTTTTGTGTAGGCACACCTGGAGTGAAATTGTCCAGCCTGAAAATCGTCTGACTCTGCCTGGCCTGAAAGTCGTCCACCTGCTGGCCCGTGTGATGTGCCGTTTGTTTCTGAGCCCATTTAATCCCCAAACAGGGCTGAGTCAATTAAATCAAGTTCCGTTCAGTTCATTAAGTCATAGACCAACATGAGCCAATGTGAGTCGACCTAACAGTATAAAAAGATACTTTTCTGATTGTGACAATTCAAATGAATTAAAAGCAAGGAAGCAAATAATAAGCACAAAAACTAAAACAACCACATACAATCTATATTATATACACATACACATATGGTTGAGTGGATACTATATCCAGCTTTCTCAGAATATGATCTCATTTCTCATAGGTGTGCAAGAGCAGAGGTGTCCAACCTCCCGTCTGCAGTCCAAATTTGGCCCTCTGGAGTTCCCTAGCTGGCCACTCCCTCTTCCCCAGCCCCAGCCCCCTTTCCCTGACCAGTAGTTTCCCCGGCTTTTGCATCTGGTTTTCCCATTCTGAAAGTCTGAGATGCCTCTGCCAGAGCTTGGTTGCCAACAGCAAGAGGCTCCAGACATGATCCTATTGCAAGAAGCATTTACTGTTGAACTGCATTTGCACTACATTTCTACCCCTTTTTCTTCCTCTTGAAAGAAACCCAACCCAGCTTACAAGTGACAAGAAGAAAACAGGGAGAGCAGGTAGGTAATCTCCGAAGGGAGAGCCAAGATAGAGTCTGCACAAGATGCTTTTCTAATCTATCAGTTACACTCAGTTCAAGGAAAAGTGGGGGGGGTGTCATGCATGTTACGCAACAGTCCTTGAGGGTGAATCAAGGATGGCTGAACACTGTGCAACATGCCACATACCTGAGCAGCACAAGCAAACATTAGCATTTCTAAGGTGAACGTGGGGGGCAAAAATCCCACCTGAAGTCTAAAAGTGTCAGGCTTTTAGCAGCCGTGTTATGGCAACGCTTTTGCTCATTTTATCCTGATGCAAGATTCGCCTCCATTCCCTTTTATTCTCACAACAACCCTATGAGGTTGATTAGGCTGAGAATCTGTGACTGGCCCCAAGCCACACAATCAGCTTCATGGTTGAGTGGGAACTCCCCAGTCTCCCGGGTCTCCCGAGTGCCAGGCCAACACTCTAACCACTATGCCATGCTGGCCTCAGTCGCCAAATGCAATTTCACCTCCTCATCCCCCCAGTTTGCATTTGCACTGAACAGTTTGCCCATCTAGCTGGAACATTTCAGAAGGGGATAGAAGGTGGCTGGGAAAGCCCAGGAGGACTTCCCAGCCTCTCTATTCCCTTCCCACCCCACCCCACCCCAATCCACCCCACCCCCACCTTAAAACTCTACCTTTTCCCTGATTCCAAGGTTTCTTGTCCTCAAAAAGCAGGCAGCACAGTTCTGTACCGAGAAGGTAGGTCGGAGCTCTGATTTCCATCTCCAGGCCTGGAGTACTGCCTCCCATGTCAGAGCTGGGAATCCAGGGGATGCTATGGCCTTTCCACTCCTTTTGCATTTGGTCCTGAGCATCACTAGAATGCAGCTCCCTAGAGCTCCTCCAGAGTTGAATTTGGCTGTAAGTGACTCACCACTCCAAGGCAGAAGGCATTCTTGAGGCTGATCTGGTGTTGTTGTTGTTTTTTTAATTATTATTCCAAGAGGACACACTGCTTGATTTGAGAGATGCATGCCAGAATTCTTTACAACAGTGGGAATCCAAATGGCTGCACACAATCTAACATTCCCACCACAGCCTTCCTTGTGACACTGCAAAAGATCCTGGGCAAAAGATCTTTGCTCTCCCCCGCAAAAAGTGTCACCATGACAAACAATCCCTTGGGGAGCTTGCACAGGTGAATACAGTCCTTTTCTTCCAAGGAAGAAAAAGTTAAATTAATGTAAGAAATATGTTGTTTAAACGTGTACCGTGATTTGTTAGCAATGATACAGAATATTAATATATAGGGAATATCTCTTTAGGAAAAACCACCATCCAGTACAGTATTCGGTTTCAAGTAATCTACAAATTTTTTGGCATAATATATAAATCCTTTATTCATCCACATGTAACATAAAGCCACTGCATCCAATATGGATCTAATATGTTGATTTTTCAATCATTTGCACACTCCTAATACAATATTATTCTAGCATTGAAAGACCAAATTGCTTAGCAAGACATATGGGCCCACAAGTGCACCCAGCTGATTTTACTGGTTCCTGTTCCAAGTAAGTGGGCAATAGATTTCAGCTTTAATTCAATAAATCTTCAATTCCAAATGGAAGAGTGCATACTTAAATAAGATCCTGGAGTTAATGCTATGTAGAAGGCATCCATTTTTCCAAAGCCCCTGAAGCATCTTTCCTGAAATTACTAAGGAATTACAGGTGTGTTGAAGTAGATGCTATGAAATGGGCCCAAAATCATCCAGGAGGCACCGATTGTGGCGTGTTTTAGGTGCCTGTCAGTTTACCAAACTTCCTTGAAGGACTGGACTGCTCACTTAGGTCATTTATGCTTAATTGTGTTATTAGATTTAGTTTTAAATATTTAAGAGCACGATCTAATGGGTTGTGGCCTTGACGCTCATAACTCAGAGGTTTATGCACATCTTGTGCCGAGTAAGCAGCGGACGTGATTTCGGCCTTCCTGCGCCTCCTGCCCTGGGTTCAGCTGGATGGCCATTTCTGGACTCTTATCCTTACCTGAGGTGCTGTGGAGGGGGAGGGAAAGAGGCTGGAAACCCTCTGCTGGCCCCATTCCCCTTTCCTTCTTGCTCTCTGGAGCAGCCCCTGAACCCCCCTCTGCAGTTGATTTCCTGACTTGAGAGGCAGCTGCTGATGCTGTTCCTTCCACGCTGGTTGTGGCAGCGAGTGGAGACACAGCACTACTTCCAACCCCAGATCTGAGCTTCTGAATTATCCTGTGCCCCCAGATGATGTCTAGGGAACTCTCTTAATAAATTAGCTTTTATATTTATTATGATGTGTTTTGCTGCCCAGAGTTAACTTTAGATTTGGTAAGTGGTATATACATAGATTTAGGGACTGGCGGGGAGGAAAAACGAGGAGGAGGAAGGCCAGTGGATCCTGAATCGAGCCTCTTTGGCCTGGGCCTTGAAAACAAAATACAGCTGCAACTTTGCTCTATCAACAAATTTATCTCTTTTGTAGTCAAGCAGCACTATGTTTGTTTTCTCATCGGAACACTTAAGGTCATAAAATCCTCTGCCAAAACCACCTCTTGCCCATCCAGCACTGACTCGGCTTGTCTTTTGAGCTCCGTGACTTCCACGTCTCCTTCGCCAATCTGACCGGCTGGTTTGTACCGCTGACTGAAGTGAGACAGCACCAGCCTCCTGACTTGGCACCGTTTCGCAAACTCAGCAGCCACCTTTGGGGTGCTGTGGCCATGCTCTCTGGCTTTGTCTGCCTGCGTATCGTCCAGGGTGGCTTCATGAACCAAGAGGTCAGCTTCGTAGCAAAGCGTCGCTGCTCCGCCTCCAACAGTACCAGAACAGTCTCCTAAAATACAAACCTTTCTTCCAGGAAGAGGGTCTTCTAAGACTTCCAAAGGAGAAATGGTGGTTCCATTTTCTAGGACAACGGCAATTCCCTCTTTCAGTTTACCATACAAAGGGCCTGGCTGAACTCCTTCAAATTAAAGCACAGGAATAAAGTTACTTTTCCAGCAGCTCACCCTCCAACACAGAATTCCAGCACAGTATTTTGAAGCCTCCAAATTTCACCAGCCCCGCTGAATTCCCATCCCTGCTCATACATCCAACTATATTTTCCTAACTTGTAACCTTTCTTCCTCCCATCTAGAGATGTAAAGGCCTGGGGTATAGTGGAGAGATTAAAAATCGGGAGAGGCACTAAGAGACCCCCCTTTCCTTTATTTTTCCCTAGAAATTTTTGGAAAATGTGAAAAATGGAGGGTAAGTTTTCCAATGAGTTTTGGGGGTTAAAGTTGGGGCTTTTCTCTTCTCACCAAGCCCTTCATCTCTCTAGCTATACCCATGCCCATCACTGAAGAATTTAATATTTTTGAGGGGGTGGGATACAATATGCAAAACAATAAGCTACGACACAATAAAGTGTACATTCTCCATTTTACAGAATATGGTATCTAACTTTTGAACCTAATGAGTTTTATACAAGAAAACCCATAATCCTATTTTGAATCCTTTTCATCCCCTCCTCAAGGTGTTGAAATATACCCTTTATTATCTCTTTGGGCTATTAAAAATGTGACAGTGAAGGGTATATTTTGAGGCTTGCGATATGATGTTGCTGTTACTTGCCATAAGATAGTCCTCCAAAATCCATCGATCTCATACTTGGTGCAATATGATAGCACAATATTTATGAAAACCCAGATTTCCTTAGAAAGGATATGGACAATATGCATTATATCTGACAGGCTGTGGCACAGCTGACAGAAAAAAATTGTTCTCTGTTGCTCCAGAGGGTAGGACCTGAGCCCACAGGTGCAAAGCACAGGAAAATCAACCTTTGGGAAGGAGTTGTGTAACAGGTAATCTTGGAAAATGGTGGACCACCCTCTGTTTGAGGTTTTAAACAGTGGTTCAGTCAGGGATGGTATCACAGTCGTTCCCACCCTGGTTTTTTCCCCAGGCATGGGAATGCAAATTCCATGATTCCCCACCAACACGACCATCATAGGTGTTATAGTCCAGCACCTGTGGGTGGGAAGCAGCTGCAACAGCTGCTGATTTCCTTTATCAGCTCTGGGTCCAGCTACATGACCTCTGAAGTTCCCCCCTGCTCTACAATTCTACCCCACCAGAAGACGCCAAAGAGGAACAGGAAGCTTAGAAAGGGTGCAGACAAACAGCGCTGCTCTTATACCCTCAAGGGTGTCATCAGATTAGATCAGAGCCATTCACCAATATTACCAGTGTGCTTTTACAGGAAAAGAGATGCATTTGTCTACAAGAGCAAAAGGACAGAAGCCACATAGGCGAGTTAAGGACTAATTGGCTTAATGTGGCACATGCTTTTGTAGCCAGAGGCCCACTTCATCTCATGAAGAGGGCTGATGACTTCAAGCATCACGCGTGGCAATAAATCAGTATGTCTCCAATGTATCACTACACATGCCCTCTAATGGGAAGAGAAGCACTTCCACATGCTTGGAAAGTTATTAGTCACTGGCCTACTCAGCAATAGTGTGAGATAAATGCACATGATATCAGCCAAAGTGCTGGGGGAACATCAGTCCAGCCACTGCAGTAGGTAAGCCTGAACAGGAAAGCCTTTTGATGAACTATCCCTCATCTGTTCTGGTTTAACTCCAAGGTGTGATCCAGCCAAAGCACCTCCATTCAGATTCACTAATACCTTAGCAAGAGACAAACCCACCTGTCTCACACATCATATACAGTTTATTGATTATAGTGGAAAAATATGGATGCAGAATGTAAAGAACAAAAGGAAGCCTGCACTCCCCTTTTCTCTGGCTGCACCTGTGAAATGAATGGCCCACGGGATGTTCTATGGGCTTCCAAAGTTGTCTGGGCAAGCAGCACATCAGCAGTTCTACCCAAGCCAAGCACGGAAGACACCGCCACTCGCAATGGGATTTTATAAACTTCCTCTCTGCCATTTGTTCAGAGGCTGTCCGCACATCCGTGCTTGCACACTACTTCCTAGGAGACAGGGCTTGGAGAGGGGTGCTAAGCTGCTTCACTAAAGGAAACAGTTTTGCTCTCACAGCAAAAGCAGCCCTTCTCTAACAGAATGTCTGGGAAAGGCAGCTTCAAAGCAATGCTCTTTGGTGCACTTCATAGCAAGCTAAAGGCCGTTAGACCTTGGCACGGCTTCAGGAAACCGTCCTGGCTTTGAGGCACTGCGAAATTTCACCACACAACCTGCTGAAACTTAATCAACGCCTCACCACTCTTCCAGCAGAACCCATCCAGTTCATGCTCCCCTCAGAAATAGAACACTGGCCTACCAAACCAAATTGTGGTAAAGAAAGGCTGAGATATTGCATGCAAAACTATTAACTATTTATAAAGTGCCTCATGAATGAGCTTCATAGTTTAGGCCTTCAGGGCCCAAGGGTCTCAACGGGGCGATGCTAGGAGGCCTGGCAACATGGGCTCATGCACACACGACTTGCTCGTCCTTGTCCAGACAAAGTCATTGAAGATTTCTAAGTAAGGTCTTTCTAAGTATTTGGGAACCTCTGGCATCTTGTGCTCATGTGGACGCCTGCGATGCAACCCCAAGCTGCCATGTCCAGCTGGATGACCAGTGCAAGAAAACCCCTTCCTTATTTCCAGCCTCTCAGCAGAGACTAGAGATAAGCTTGGGAGACTTCAGGCATTCTGGAGTGCCAGATTCTGGGAGATTTTGCAGGCTGCCAGAAAAGACTCAGTATGCTGAACATTTTGCACCCAGTGTAAGCTATAACATTATATTATTCCACATACTCTATGGTATATCTTAAAGCCGTCTTCCCCAGCCTGGTGCCTTCCAGATAAACCGGACTACAATCCCCATCATCTCAAGCCAGCATGAACATCTGTGATCAAGAACATTGCATATCCTCCCCATAAGTGGATCCTTAAGGAGTCAAAACAGAACCATCCACACACAAGAGGGAGTTATCACCAGGCTTACAGGGATGCCAAGGTTTGCAGAAGAAGGAAAAGAACTCCAAAGAGCAGGGAAGAAAGGAGGGTAGGAGAAGCTGCCTAAGTGATGGGTGAGTGGGGAAACCTCTCCTTAATGGCAGGCATCAACATCCCAGTGAGCCCCAAGCATGCTAAAAATTGGGTGCTAACTATGGATGTAAAACAGAAAAGCACAGGTAGGAGGAATGGAGTATTCTTCGGAAGGGCATGGCTGGCTGGCTGGCTATTCTGTACTGCAGCTGTCCTGCTCCAGCTGAATCATGCTCAGTGTTAGGGCAAATTCTGGGGCAATCCAAAAGGCAAAGCAAGAAAGCAGGGGAATGCCCAAGCACAAAGTTTTGGTTCAGGAGGGGAAGAGGCAGAAGCAGGGATGGTCAAGACAGAGGCAAGGCCCACGCCAGCTTCAATACACAGTCCAGCAGCAGAGTCGGGGAGGCGTCCAAGAGTCAGCAGCATGGAGGTCTTACTCCAGAGCAGCAGCGCTGTTCCAGTACTGTTAGGCTGAAACTGACCGCCTGCAGAGCCAGAGCTTCCTGTGCCTTACCCAGGGCTCAGCTGCCGCCTGGCAAAAGTCCTACTTGGGACAAGGGCTTTGCTCTCGAGGAGCCCTTCTCTGTCACTGAGCACTTCTGAAGGAGCTTTCCCAGCCTGCCTCTTGAAGCAATGATGCTCTCGAGGACTTGGTTGGCTCAGCACCTGAGAGGCAGAAATGTCTCCCTCTGGCAGGTGCAAACTAGTGGCCATCTCTGCCACGGGCCCAGGCTCCTGGCACGCAAGAACCAGCGCCCCTGGCCCAGCACTCCTGGCACTATTGTCCCTAGAAGCTCAAGATCCTCCTCAGAGGATTTCTCCACCAGGGGCAGGCCACCAATATCTTCTTGCGGGTCCCCTTTGCTTCAGACCAAGGGGAAACCTCCTTTTACCCTGAGACCCAGATGCCAGGGCTGTATCTGAGTAGTGTGTGGGGCTAAATCAAAAAGGACAGGGCCAAAACCCCCCACATATGTAGCTTCAGGCTCTTACTGGAGGTAACCAAGTCTCAGGACCAGCAGGCCAACCTTGCAGAATGAAAGAGAAGGCACAGAAGCCAGGAAATAATGCGAACCCCAAAGAGCAACATTGGAATTCCTCAGGGGCCAGATTTGGCTTCCTAGCCTGAGGTTCTACATCCCAGTTTTAGACAAACTTTCAGTTCGTAGCCACAGGACAGTTTTTCATAAGAATTGAGTAGTGAGAGCCATCATCACCTAGTTCCTTCAGCTTCTGCGTATTGAGTTTGCCTGCTCGTGGCTTCTCCTCCACTAGAAACCCAAAGGAAGGTATGCGATGAAATAACCTGAAGGCCTTCATTAGAAACTGTTTATTGTCCACCAAGGTGTATGAGTCTTCTACAGGATCCAGATAAATCGTTTTCCCATGAGCCTCTGGAGATGAGACCTCCCCTGTGTCCACAGATGATGGTTCCTTCCATTCTTCTGCAGGGCATTGTTCTGGTGTGGGCACCAATTCGTGAACAATGTAAGGAAAGGAAAGTTGTGAGTGGGAAAGTTCCATTGTTCTCTGCAGGAAACTCCTGAGCCCAAGTGGACCATAAATATCTACTGGCAGTTTGTTTGTGCTGGGGCAACCTTGGAGACTGATGGTACAAAGAAGGCCAGGAAGGCCAAAGAAATGGTCCCCATGCAGATGAGTTATAAAGATCTTGGTAATTCTTCCTAACAACATAAGAATAACATTGATTAAAATGAGGGAGAGTTGAGAGAATTCAGGGGCACTCTGAATTCAGAGCAGGCAAACATGGAAAACAGGTTTACACCAGAATAAAAATACAGGGCAAAATCCAATACTCAAAAGCAGACTTCCCCAGCATGGTTCTCTCCAGATGTGTTGGACTACAACTCCCAACATTCCCCAAACAACATGCTCCAATTCATCTGGAGGATTCCTCAAAGTCTCTGCTAAGCATATCTGGGTGAGAAAATGCTGGGCTTTCTCAGCTGAGCTTCTACTGCAGGCTTGCTGGAAGAATTCACAATTGAAACACTGCTAAACATACTGCGTATTGCCCACCAAAACACCAAAAGTGGTGGATGAGATCTGAAATAGCTTTGATGCAGGCTTGCCATAAACCATCTCTTTTTCCTTTTTTCCTGAAAGCAGCCTGTTTTTGAATGAAGCCATGACAAAGAGTAGGAAAGCGATGCCTTTTTCTGAATCAACACCACACTTGCCCAACTGCTACAGTTAAACATGGAATTGTCTTGCACAAGATGCCAGCTTGCTTGGCTTTAAAATGGGGATTTGACAAATGAACAAAAGGGAAAGTTAATCATGGCTGCTAGTCACCATGGCTCTATGCCGCCTCCAAGATCAGAGGAGCTTGCAGTGAAACCGCGAGGAGGAGGGTAACCTGTGCACCTGCCCCACTTGTGGGGTTCTCTGTGGAGGCAGGCTGACCAGTGTGGGTCCCGAATGCGGGACCCGATCCGCCATTGGCCTGACTCCACAGGTTCCTCTTATGTCCATCTTCAATGCACTGACTGCATACACGAAGCAGTGGCTTCTATAATGAATAGAACAGCAACAGAGAAAGTACTTTCTGCTCACATTTCCTGCTCGCACACAGTGCTTCCTTCTCCGCTTGTGGAATCACCAATACTTTCTCTTGGTCTCTTTTCCAGCCACCCAGGTGGGTTTTAATCCAGCCCTCCTTGGGGCCCTCCAGGGTGGTTAGATTACAGCCCCATCATCCCAAGCCAGCATGTTGGCAAAAATGCTGGGTGTTGTAGTCCAGCTCCTCTGAAGGGTACTGGGTTGGGCAAGGCTGGGCTAGTCAAAAACACATCCTATCGCAATGCTGCTTCTAGCTCCTCCCAGGGAGTGGCAGTCTGCTAAAAGAGGCGTCATCCAGACAAAAGCAAACGAACGTCCCACACTTGCCTGCTTTTAAATTACTTTTCATGAACTGGGTCTGTGTCCCCTCACCGCAATCAAACAGCCAGCATTCTCCTTCGAAGCGGACCACCGTAGCTGAGGCCCCTCTGGTGGGAGATGGATAAGCAGCACCAGTGCCCAGGAAAGTCACATCCATCGACATTTTGCTCGGAAGTGGCCCAGCACCTAACGAAGAAGCAACGCGTGCAAATCCTTAGGCTTTCTGGACCCTCGGTTAAACAGCTGCGGCAGCTGCTTTTAAAAATGAAGCTATGGGGTATAAAAACATACCACCTCTGCCATTCTCCAGATATTGCTGTGAATTGTGCCTGTCCTGTTTTGTTTATATTATTGGCCTGCTGTTATATTATGTATATTATTGTCTCATTGTTTACTTTATTGGTTTATATGATTTGATTTGTTGGTTCGGCAATTTGCCTAACGTGTCCTGTTGGTTAAGGAATACAAATTTAAAAATAAATGAATAGATAGGATTTGCAAGACTGTAAGATGCATTGAGCTCAATGGGAAACCTTCCATGCCACGATACATTTGATTGTTCTGTATATTTGCACTTTCAGAAGATGTTTAGCAGCAGGCAAATATTTGCTGCTTTTCTTGTGTACTATTCTGGAAGATAGTAGCAATGGAAATGCAGCAGATACTGATTATTTTTTAGAAGACTAAGCCTTCCCTGTCCTACTTCAATCACGCCGGCCAATGCAACCTCCTCCAGATGCTGTTGTCCAGTCATGTCCAACTATAAGAAATCCCATGGGCCGTATCACACCACACTTTTTGATCCCGTGGTACCTCCAAATGCACTGGACTACAATTCCCCTCATTCCAAATGTCCATACAGGGTGGGAATGATGGACCTTGCCATCCAGCTCATCTGTGGAGGAACAGATTGTCCAAGGCTCATGGGCATTTCTTGCATGTGGCGCCTGAACTGAATCATTTTGCATTTGCCATATAAGCAAATCAAATATAAAAGCTACAATGCCACCATTGGCCAGTTTGGACTGAAAAAAGGCCAGCAACTGCCAGCTTTCCCCACCTGGCTAATTTCTGGAGATCAAGCGATTCTTTAAAGGCAGCGCTACAGCAGGGAGTTGTAAAGTTGCCAACTTCATGTGTTGCAATGCTCTCACATTATCTAAGCTGCACCGAAACCGAGAAGCTACATATTCCAAGCTGACAAGTATTCTTCTCATCAGCCAAGAAAATGCCTCACTTGATTTTCTGTCCTTCATCAATTCCTGATATTCCTTGCAGCTTGCTTCTTCCATTCCCTCCAAGATCCAGACGCTCAAGATTCATTCCTGATCCTGTGAAGGAAAGCTGTTTCTTTGGGAGCGCTTGTGCATCATATAGCAAACCCTTTCCAGACTGGAAATCATATTAATTATGAAGGTCCTCATTCCCAGTTCTGCATTTGACATCTGAACCAAGAAGTTATTTATGCATTTCATTCACATGTGCTCTGCAAAATGCCTTGCACCCAAGCAGTGCTACAGAATCAACAAATAATAATAATAATCTTAATAAATGCAAGGATTTATAAACTGCCTTTCAGCACAGGTTGATAATGCAGTATCTGAAACCAACAGAAAGAGGGACCCTGTATAAACCACAGTGCCTCGGAAACAGATGGCGAGCGACAGAACCGTTGTGCTTTTCTGTGCTCTCCCACATTCAGACACTTGCTTCAAATAGAAAACCTAAGATATTTTCCTGCTTACAGCAAAAGGGACGATGGTAGTCCCTCCGTGTTCCATGTACTGAAGCTGGGTGAGATTGCTGTTGGTCTTGCTTCAGAACCGGCTGTGGAGCAGCATCCTTTGATGCAAGGTTCGTGACAGGCACAGTTCTGAACCTCAGTGGAAGGGAACTGCCCGGAAGCTGCCATTGCTGCCCCCACACCCAAGATCTGCACCTTGAAGCGATTCCCCAATCTCACTAAAGATAGGGCCATTCCTGCAGAAAGGACAGAACTGTAGAGGTGGACAGGAAGCCAAAGGCCAGCTCAATCCAGCATCTGAAATGTAGCATGCAATTACAACAGGTCTGGTCCATTTATTTATTCCGATTTATATCCTACCTTTTTCCTACAAAGGGCTCAAGGCAGCTTACATCATCTCTCCTCCTCCAGCTTATCCCCACAACAACAACCCTGTGAGGTAGGTTGGGCTGAGAGTCTGTGACTGGCCCAAAGTCACCCAGTTGGCTCCATGGCTGAGCGGAGACTAGAACCCAGATCGCCTGAGTCCCAGTCCCAGGCTCTTCACCACGACACCACACTGGCTCTCTCCATCAGTTGTACCCACTCCTCTATTTGCTAGCTTTCTATTTGCAGGGCTGTTGTTGTTATTTAAAGGGGAGTCTTCCATCGGCTCTGCTTTTGCTGTGAAGCCTCTGACATTTCGTTAGATTTTTGTCACAGCAGCCATTCATCAGTTTGCAACAGAGAGTTACAAGACCTCTGTAACTTGAGGAAGCACTGAGTTTTTCTTCTCCCTCCCCATTTCTTTTTCCTTTGATGTCCTGTCTTTTAGATTGCAAAACGAAGCACAGGGATTGTCTGGGGTTTTGAAAGTTTACCTAATCTACTTGAGGAAATTCTTTCGCTTGAAGAGCAGTAGAGGAATGCTCTAACGGAATAAAAGCGCCCTCCCCACTCCGGATGGAGGTGATTAATTGGGAAACTCTTCTCGCATGTAGCAAGTGAACCTGTCAGGTAGAGGGATCGGTTTAACTTTCGCAATGACGTGGTTTTTTTTAAAAGATGGGGATGGAAACCGCCCCCCCATGGGAAAAAGCATGCAACCCCTCTCCTGCGGCATGAAATGGTACAGTCCAAGGAGAGCTTTACCACCGGCGTGCATAAAGTCCGGACCGACGTTGCAGAATCAGCCCACTTTGTGGTGTCCGCGCAGGGCGGCCTCTCTCACTCGGGGCTTCACACCTCGGCTGCCAAAGGCGTTAAGAAATGTGCGGGCGCGGTTGGTTTTTCAGGGTTATTGGCCACAAGCCTTCCGGCTTGGCAACCGATTATTTTTACATTCCGACCACGCAGAAGAGACACTTTCCAAACAGCAGGAAGGGAAAAGAAGGAATCGCGCCGCGCAAGGCCGGCTTCCTCGCGCACCGCGGCACATGCTCAGGAAGTCGGCCGCGACCTTTGCAGGCAAAGGAAGGGGGAAGCGGCAATAGGTTCCGGGGCTAAGCCCTTCGGGAGGAGGGGCAGAGAAGCCGATGCAGCCCCTGGGCGTTTTAGAAACATCCGGAAATCGGGTAAATGCTAGGAGTGGACGGTTTTGTTTCCCTGGCAGGGCTCCTCTGCCATCGGGAGCTGTGCGGAGGGCCGAAGAGCAATCGAGCCGCACCTGCAGATGCGCGCGAACGAGGGAGGATTTACCTGTTGTGCTCACAGAACCCCAGTCCTCCGTCGGCTTCACTGGCTCCCCATTGAAGTCCGGGCCCCATTCAAGGCGCTGGTTATCACCTATGAAGCCCTTAACGGCTTGGGACCTGGTTATCTAAAGCAGCGCTCGCGTCCGTATATGCCCTCCCGCCCCCTGAGATCGGCGGAGGAGGCCCTTCTCCGGGAGCCCTCCGTGAAGGATATTAGGAGGGCGAGTACCCGGAGGAGGGCCTTCTCTGCGGTGGCGCCCCACCTATGGAATGCGCTCCCCAGAGAGGTCCGCCTGGCGCCGTCGTTCTTCGGCGCCAGGCCAAGACCTTTTTATTTAAACGTTATCTTAATTGTTAATGGTATTTATTGATTTTATATTGTGCCGAGATGTTTCCAGATTTTTAAGGTAATTGTATAATTATTTGTTTTGGAAGCTGCCCCGAGTCTTTTTGCGAATGGGGCAACATATAAATGTTCCAAGTAAATAAATAAATAGATTCCTCAGCTATTGGCAATGTTGGCCTGGGCTGCTGGGATTTGCAATCCAACATTTCAGGGCCGCTGACGAAATGAAGCATTCAACGCAGGCATCAGGAAAGACTTTTATTATGAAAATAGAAGACCGTAACACATGTCTAAGCACAGTTACGCTATTACCAAAGGAGAAAAATAAATTCACGTTTTAAAACACATTTTAAGCTGCCCAAGAGACAATTTTTCAATAAGCCATATTCTGAAGTCAGGAAAAAAATATATCCCGAGGAAGGTTTATATTTTAACTATGCAGGAATGGTTTCCACAAAAGGCATTTGATGCCCCAACTGCATTTGTGGCACACACAGTGATAGACAGAATTGGGTGCCCCTCTACTTTTTTTGATCTATGGGAGTTCTTGTTCTCTGTTACGGACACCGCAGAGCTGGACAGAGGCAGGAGAATGGAAGAGCTGCGACTCACCTTTTCCTACTCCAAATGCAAGGAAAGGTCCCTTTTCTCCTGCATAAATGCTGGCAGTCCCAGGGCAGTCCCAGGAACCACATTGAGTGGGCAGCTATCACAGAGAACTGGCCATGCTTATTTCCAACTGTGTCAGTTGTATGAATAGGCCCTCAGCTGAGGCTGGATGTGTGATAGCAAGAGAGGGAAAGGCCCAGGCCTAACTTTCCAGACAAAACGAGCATTTCACACACATCCCGACCCCCAGCCCCTCAAATCTAGCTGTGCAGGCTCAATACTGAACTGCTTTTGTGGTACCTCTTTGTCACAATGAAACAGTTGCGTTAGGTTTCCGGACATCCATTTCCATGCACAACCGTCATCTAGCTGCTGTGAGCTATTTGGAAAATAAGTTAATGTCAGGAGGAGGTTGGGGAATGGGAAAGTGCCGTGATTAAAGCCATGACATAAGGCAAACAAAAAATAAAATAATGGACCAAATGCCAGGTAACAGTTTTGTTTCAAAATGAAAAGTGCCTTGTTTTAGACTAAACATTTTCAAAATATCTGTACCACCAAATTGTTAGCAAAGAGTAACACACACACATACTGTTTATTCAACAAGTATACTTTATGCCATGTTAGATTCCTATTGATTGGTTTCTAGTGAAATTATGGGAGGTGGGGCTGGTGTTCCTTCAAAACTTTTTACAAACCAACTTGAATGGAATGCAGGGCAGACCCAAATCCAAGAAAAAAAGATGATCTAAAAAGTGGATCTTTTCTCAATGACGCACTCAGCAAACTCATGTAATCCAGCTGTGTTACACTGGAGGTGACTACATGTGAAGAAAACCGAGAACACCTCCCTGTACATACAGAACTCATATACATGGTTCAAGTATGGCTTCCTCCCTGGCACGGATGTTTTTTATGTTTTCTTCCTCACTTGCTAGGAAATATTGAAGCATCTGATCTTCACCTGGAAGTGGTACAATCCAGCCACAAATACATCACTTGAGCCTGTTAATCATGTAAGCTCGGTTTTAAAAGTGCAGTGCTGGAGGTATGGACGGACATCAGTCAAAGGAACGCTCTCTTGAATATATCCTGCCAAAATTTAACTCATATACTTAGCTCCAAGTCAGATACATCAAGTCCTTCTAGAATCCGGAAACTCTTATGCTGGATCTGAAGCCGGTCATCTTCCAGTGGATGGATTTCCTTCCCCCACTGCAGATTCTTGGTTGGGGGACCCTCTTCAGAAGATGTGGGTCACATGCAAGGGGAAGCCAAGAAAGTCCCAGTGTGTCTGCCAAAGTCTGAGCACACAATGGTAGATCCAACCCAATTTACGAGTGTTCCCCTTTCATAAACCTGTACCCAGAAAAATGGTCCTTACCGTACTCCGTAACGTGCTCTATGCATCCGAGACATTGCATGCTATTTATGCCCTGCATGTTACGGTCTGGCCCTAAAACCCTTTGGGCAGGTACATGAATTGTATTGAAAAGTACAACATGACCAAAGCTGCTGGTACCATGAATTTTCCCACACAATCCCTGGTGAATGCAGTAAATACATCTGCATGTAAGCAACAGCCAGGGCTCCAGAAGATTCTGGCTTATGATACAGCCCCTTCATCTGAAAAAGATCCCTCTTGCACAGTTCCCATGACTGCCCTATGAGGGAATACTGAGGGAACCGGGCATGTTCAGCCATGAGAAGAGAAGTCCCTCAAAGGCTGTCACAAAGAGGAAGGTCAAGATCTCTTCTTGCTGATGCCAGAGTGTAGGCCACGGAATAATCAAGTCAAGTTGCAACAACCCAGATTCAGGCTGGACAACAGGAAAAGCTTCCCCACTGTCAGAGCAATGCGACAGTGGAACCAGCTGCCTAGAGAGATGCTGGGCTCTCCCACACTGGAGACATTCAGGAAGAAACTGGGCAGCCCTCTGAATGGGATGGTATGACTTGGAGTCCTGCAGCAGCAGGGGGTTGGACTCGATGGCCTTCATGGCCCCTTCCAGATCTACTTCTATGATTCGTGAACCTACTGGAACTTATGCGGACCTTCCTCGCCTACTGTTCCTTTTGCACTCACTTTCTGAGAGAGTATAAAAAAACTTTCCCGTTTCCTGTATGATTGTGCAACCATCTTGAATAAGTGAAGCAAACCCAGGGCAGCCTGGTGTGTATGGAAATGAAAACTGAGCACGGAGGGCTGCAGCACTCGTGTGGACTGGGCTGCTCCCTCCCTTTTGGCAAGCACAGCAGAATTAAGTGCGGTGAATCTAAAACGATTTTTAAAACTTGGTTACCTCCACGTTACGGCTACACAGTATGGGAAGAGAAGCCAAGGAAAAGGTGAATCACTTTCCCAAGTTTGTTGAAAACACACTGTCAATTCCTGGCTGTTATCAGAAAAAACATAAAGAATGACCCCCTCTCCAATGTTCTCCAAATCCTTCCTTTTTTAAACCAACAAAAAGACTTCAATTAAGCCGCTATATAAACTGCTTCTGCACAGCAAGGCACAAGTTTGGGCGTCTTGGCATGGGCGGAAAAGAGCAGGTTGCTTCCCTGTAACTGATGTTCTTCGAGTGGCCATCTGTGCAGTCACAGCCTTTGGCCGGAAGATTAACAGCTAACCGTTTTTGGCGGGAACTCCCCTCCCCCTCAGCATTATATAAGGAGCGGAGTGTCCGCCATTTTCCAGTCTTTGAAAGACCGACGTTTGTTCTTATAATAAGGTTTGTCAGCATGACAAGATAGCCAAATTCAGTAGTGGTACGACACATAGCAAAGAGATCATAGTATCGAAAGAAATAGTCGGACCACCCATGACACCAAGCGGGGTCGGAGGGTGGGTTGTGTGACTGCACAGATGGCCACTCGAAGAACATCAGTTACAGGTAAGCAACCTGCTCTTCTTCTCCGTGGCCTCTGTGCATCACACATATGGGTAGAATAACAAGCTTACCCCAAATGGAGGAGGGAGGTGTCATCAGCGAAGGACAGAAGAAAGGACAGCTCTGCCAAAAAAGCAATCCTGCCTGGCACAGACATGGAGTCTATAATGTCTGGCGAAGGTACACGGGGTAGCCCAAATGGCCGCCCTGCACACATCTTCTATCGGGACCCCTGATGCAAAGGCCGAAGAAGCAGCAACAGCTCTTGTAGAATGGCCTCTTGGAGTAGATGGCAAGTCCAACTTAGCTAACTGATAAGACAGGACAATTGTATTTACTATCCATTTCGAAAGACGTTGTGAAGTGACTGGACAGCCTCGGTCATGTTCCAAATATTTCACAAAAACTCTATTGGAACGCCGAACAGACTTCAGTCCTGGACCTATAAAAGGCTAAGCAACGACGAACGTCCAGCATATGTAGAGATCGCTCTATCGGATTCGAAGGGGTTGGAAAGAATGCCAGTAAAACAATCTCCTGTTGCATGTGAAACGAAATAGCGACTTTCGGAAGGAAAGACGGATCCAGCCGAAGAACCACTTTTTCCTTATGAAAATTTAGAAAAGGGGGGTCTACCCGAAGGGCGCAGAGTTCAGAGGATCTACGGGCTGAAGTCACTGCAACAAGGAAGGCAGTCTTCCATGAAGCAAGGCGTAGATCGATCGTCGCCATGGGTTCGAAAGGTGATCGAGTCAGCGCTTGTAAAACCACCAAAAGACTCCAGGTGGGCATTAGAGGTCTTATAGTTGGATGCAGATCACTCAATCCTCTCAAAAATCTTTTAATCAGAGGTTGAGCAAAAATGGAGAGACCATGTATAGT